GGGGAATTCTGGGAGTTGAAGTCCACACATCTTCAAGCTGCCAAAGTTGAGAAACACTGGTCTAGACTATCTCTTGTTTTCTCAGCACACTTACATCCACAGTGATGTCAATTACCCATTGTGGCACAGTTTCGTTAAGGAGCATGGATTCAGTTTCACCACCAGAATCCCGGCATAGCAACCTGTATGGAAAGAGATTGGAAAGAACGCTGAAGGATCAAGGGGGAAAATCTCTCAAAAAGTATATAAGGAAATGCAACAGAAAATGACAATGACATTAAAGTTTAAATACAGTTAGGGCACACGGCCTGCATTAAAATTATTCCTGGGAGCAATTTAGGCTTCCTGCTTCTGTAAAAACTGAAAATGCACTTGAATATAAACTTTGCAGAAAACTGAGGAGGATCCTGAGGAATTCACTTCTAGCTCTTGACCCTTCTAGAGCAGTGTTTCTCAACCTTGACAACTTTTAAGATGTGTGGACTTCAACTCCTGGTTGGGGAATTCTGGGATTTGAAGTCCACACATCTTAATACAATACAATACAATACAATACAATACAATACAATACAATGATTTGAAGTCCACACATCTTAATACAATACAATACAATACAATACAATGATTTGAAGTCCACACATCTTAATACAATACAATACAATACAATACAATGATTTGAAGTCCACACATCTTAATACAATACAATACAATACAATACAAATACTTTAATGACCAAGTATAAAATATACACAAGGAATTTGTCTTCAGTGACGAACAGCAAGATCAACGGTGCATTTGGATAGCAACAAAAATTAAACGGTAACAATAACACTGCCCAATAAAATAACTTTTCCAAAGAAGAAGCCACTGTCCAGTACATATCAAATCATACAGTGTTTAACAGAGCAATGGCACAAGGGAAAAAACTATTCCGATGTCTAGATGTTGTCTAGGTTGAGAAACACGGCTCTAGAGCCATCTCTTGGCCATTGTATGATACAGTGCAGGACTAGATGGACATCTGTTCTGATTCAGCAACAGTCTAAAGTTTTTCTGAGTGAGTCTTCGCAATAAAGATCAATGGGTAGAAAGAGTTTATGATAACAATGAAAATAGCAGCCTGGATTTCTGCAAGACATCTCTGTCCCTACAAGGTAGCAAAGAGCTATCTAAAGACTAAGGTGATGAGGCCAAGCCCTTAGAGATCTATTTGTTGTCTTGGGAGCGCAGAAGTCAACTTAGTCCTGACTTCTTGAACAAAGAGAAAAGTTATGCACTTTGGAATAACACCGAGAACAGAATTTTAATTTAAAAAATCCTTTCTTAAGGGAGATGATAATAGAGTTTACCAAATCATTATGGCTTGCTTCTTTGTTATATAAGTAAAATGTGCCAAAAATATATGCAGACTGCCCTTGATTATTATCTTCCTTGCATTTAAAAAATAAATACTACTTTGCATCAACTTTATTATGGTACCCCCAAATGTATAAAGAATATGTGCTATGCTAGGCTGTGCAACCTAGGTCTGTAGCGCTAATACATATGGAGGACAGGCTGTTGGAGAAGGATGACTTTTGAACATTGACTTTAGGTGAATGCATTCAGAGTACTCCATATTTATTTATTTGTTTGTTTATTAAATTTATCTCCACCCATCGCCCCCTAATGGGGGACTCTGAGCGGCTCACAAAATCCATTAAAACAATAAATATATAAAACATAAAAACTAAACAAAACATTACCAAACAAGAAAAGTCCAAGAGGCTGATCGTTACCAGAGCTGCAGACGACAGGCCTCTAAGGGGCCAGCCATCCCCACACTTGGTGACTTCCCTCCACACCCCAGGCCAAGTGGCAGAGCCAGGTCTTCAGATCTCTCTGGAAGGCCAGGAGTGAAGGGGCCAATCTCACCTCCAGGGGCAAGTTATTCCAAAGGGCGGGGGCTACAGCAGAGAAGGCCTGCCTTCTGGACCCCACTAATCAGAGCTCTTTTATTGAGGGGGTCCGAAGCATGCCCTCCCTGTGTGGGACGAGATGAAGTCAGGGGAAGAGGCGGTCCCTTAGGTAACCTGGTCCTATGCCATGTAGGGCTTTAAAGGTGATAACCAATATATGGTGGTTAAAATATCATATAGGCCACTAGGTTGTTCTCTCTCATCCCAACCAACCTCACACAATTATTGTGGGTGGAGGTGAGGGGTGGAGGGAGGAAGGAGTGCTACATATGCTGTTTTGAGCTCCTGGAGGAAATGTGGGATATAAGTCCAACTAGTAAACATACATACGTACGTACGTACATACGTATGTCCATATTATTTCCAGGGCTTGCTTGGGGCCACATGACAGAGGCGGGAGTTGAATCAAAGACTGGCCAGTGCGTAGGTCACTTTGCCACGTGACTATATTGTCTACCAAAGACTAACTTTCTTCAGTCGCTTTAACTCTAGTGGCTTGTTGAAAACGCTGCTCCCAACACAACCACCCTCTCTCGTGCTTCTTTGCCAGAATTTCTGTACCTAAACAAAGTGCGTCCTCCAGCTTCCCCAAAAATAACTGGTGTGTGTGGTGGCACTTGGAAGTATCCATTTCCTTTCTGTAGTCTGTTCTCCTGTTCACCATTCACTGTTACCAGATGGGTAAAGAAAAAGAAATGTATTATTAAGACCATACAATAATTGAATTCAAGACAAAAGCGTAACGTGTTATTGCAATGAAATCTAATTTTAACAATCCCAACCTGAGCCTCATTTCAATGAATTTGTAAGCTAATCTAGAGCAACCCCTCCTCCGATCTGGATGGGGATCACAGTGGACAGGACAGCCTATGCTGTGAACAATAAACTCTTATGGGTACCAATGGGAATTTTTTTCTACTATTTGCAGTGCAAGAAGCACAAACTTTTCTTCAGGGTCATGATGGGGCAGGAAAGATTAAGCCCTCTAGACCTAGAACCCCTGGCTCTCAGAGGTCCATGGAATCAAAATTATTTGCCAGATGCTGAAGGTATTTGCAAAAATGTAAAACAGGGTAACTCTTCTCATTATTATTTTTATTTGTTAAAAAATACAGGTTTTTAAATGAAAAATATTTTATTTATGTTAATATCTAATGGGTTTAATACTGCTATTTTTACATGATTTAATGAATAATTATTGTACAAGTGCATCCATTTAAATTTTTAATATGGAAAATATCAATAAATATAACCTATCCAAACAAAAGCTCTTTTGGGGTCCTCCACAATTTTTAAAAGCGGGAAGGGGTCCTGAGAGCAAAAAGTTTAAGAAACAGTGCCCTAGATGATGCTGTCCTGCAGGGGTTTAATTAAAAAAACAAAAGCCAGTCCACATGATGTGTTTAACCTTCTAACTATCTCAGGAATTCAGGAAGAACAGGCACTGATCCACATGGGTTATTCTTTAAAATAATACATCAGTGCTTTCTGTAAATGCAGGAAGGGTTTACCAAATGCCAACTTGATATGGACCAGAAATTTAGTAGTCCCTTGGGGCAGAAAGAAGTGCTCACCATGATTCATTTCATTTTCTTCTTCATCCATGGGATTGATGTGGGTCCTAGGCCAGTATTCCAAGAGAGCCTGTAGCAAAAGCCCCCCAAGGTTCACTGTATATTGTGATACAAAGGAAACAAAAAACATTACTAATTATTTATATTCAGGGAGTTACTGCTATTAGTCACTGATGCTTAAACAAAGATCCATGAACGTAGTGTTTGTTGAAGGATGCACTCCACCTCAGCGGCATCAACTTTTGGGATTTTTCAAAAGCAGGCCTACTATCCCACAGAATAGCTACTGAAACATTCAATTACTTGGCATCTCCAAGCCTTTGCTGCCATCTGAAGTAGGTGTGGCATCTAAGCCTTAATTTATCTTTACTATAAAAAAGGTTAGCTTAAAAGAGGCCTTCAACAATGGTTGAAACCCTAGGTCTACAAACTGGGCTATTTACAACTTTGGAATATTGCAACATCAAAAAACATCAAGTTTATTTCCAGTTCAGAGAGTGACTCTTGAAAACTGTGATGAGTTGAAGACCAGTTGACCAACTGAGCAATTCCAGTCTAATGTGCCGCCACAAACAGGAAGCCTGAATTCAGAAAATTCTCTCTCAACCACTTGAAAAGTGAAGATCAGGTATACTCATAGTATTTCTGCTTCCAAGAAATATGGCCATGTGTTTAAACTTGCCTTTTTGTGAGATTAAGACAACACACTCACATTTTGGGTCAGATCCATCTGGACTGCTAAACCCGGCATCTTTGGCTGAAACCCAAGCTGCGAAGCAGTCACTCTCATCTAAAGTAATAGTTAACATCTGCCAAAAAAAGAGCATTGAGTAGGATTTGAAATGCATTAGAACATAACTGTTTTATTGGCATTCAAAGCACAGAACACCGTGATAAGCACATTCGATTAGATAGCAATTGTAAGTAAATAACAATGTGGGTAATTTCATCACCACATTGCACATAATTTGAATAGGATACAGAATACGATTTGTGTGTTTGCTGCTAGATTTCCCTCTTAGTTTTCACTAACATCCAAAAAAAAAGTGTGCCTCAGTATAAATGAGTACACCAAAGAGAGAAAAATATTTTTTGAATTAAAATTGTTATTTAGTTGAAAGTATCAAGTGTGTATAAGTGATTTTTCTTGTTCTGATACATGTGATATTGTAAAAGACCTAGGAAATAAGGGAAATGAAGTATTTTTTTTCTTTTATCTATTCTGTTTCATGGTCTATATACCGTTTTTTTTAATCCCTTTATTATTTTTATAAATAACTCAAGATGGCGAACATACCTCATGCTCCTTCCTCCTCCTATTTGCCCCACAACAACCACCCTGTGAGGTGAGCTGGGCAGAGAGAGATTGTCTGGCCCAAAGTCACCCAGCTGGCTTTCATGCCTAAGGCAGGACTAGAATTCACCGTCCCCTGGTTTGTAGCCTGGAGCCTTCACTACTAGACCAAACTGGCTCCCTTACATGTTTTGAGTTCAAAAAACTGCACAAGCAGATATTAGGAGTCTGAGACACAGAGATTTTATCACCTAAATTCATTCCCATTTAGTACACTCATTGTGTAACCATGACCTAAGCTTTATTTTAACCACCTGGGACACTGTCAGAATAAAATATGGGAAGGGGAACCACGACTATCATCCTGCGCTCTAGAGGAACTGGATAAGTATACTTAAACAACAAAGCAGCACACATCGTGCCATGTCAAATTGTTAGGGTTATTAAAAAAAAAATGCCTTACCCCAGTTTTTAAGTCCACTGAAAACCAGTTTGGTACATACACCATTTTAAATCTTTTCTTAATTTCTTCTTCAAAGTCCATTTTTCCAAGGTCTTCTACTTTACACGCCTACATATGAGAATGCCAAACAAACCATGTAGCTTACTACATACTAATATAAAATATTAATTCACTCCCAACCGAACAGTTAACTCAAAGTTGGCTAATCTTCTATTTAAATAACCAAAATGCTTCACAAAACTGAAAGGAGCTCTATAACAGCTTACTGTAAATAAAGAAAGGGGCTCACCAAGGATCTTTCCCATGAAACTGATCAGCTATAGCAAGTTGCTTGATAAGTTGCTATAGATCTTAGCCATGCTTGGCGGTGGAGGGGACAGGAGCAAAAGCAACGGCACGGTTAAGCCTTTCAAATAAGCATACCACAATGCCACTGAAGCAAAGGATTAATGCTTAAATCTAGAAATGGCTACTTCTTTAGAAACGTAATTAGGAATGACAAGTGGCAAGATTGGTACAAACAGTCTCTAGTTTAAGAACGAGTTCCATTCCCAAGGTCTGTCCTTAAGTCGAATTTGTACCTAAGTCAGAACAGTATTATTGTATCTTACTGTATAAGTAGTATTGTAGTATTATAACTCGAACCATGGTGTATTTAACTGGAATCACTGTGCACTTAACTTGAATTTTGCTCCAATAGGCTCCGCTCTTAACTATGGGTCATCCATAAACTGGGCGTTCTTAACCTGGGGGACTCCCTCTAGTTTAAAACATCATGAGAGCCACAGGCTCTCCACCCTCAATCAGACAGATACTGCCAACGGGTTTATGTTCTAAAGGATTACAGGGATTCTAAAGGATCACAGGGGAAAGAACAGGGAAAGGAAAAGATGGGTGGCATGCAAGTCACATACATACATAAATAAGATGTTTAAATACCCAAATCACATACATTCAAACTACTACTTTCACTGACCTTCAATACATCCCAATACGCCACGTTGTTGTTTGTGTCTTTGGTCAGTATATGTCGCTTGTCATTGAGAATGTGGCATTGAATAATACTAGCACCCCCTGGGAAGAAGCCCACAAAAACGAGTCACGTAACCCATGCAAATTTAACATACAGAAAACATACATAAAAAATATGGCATTGCCCAGTAAGAAAAACTCGGAATGTAGGTTACATTTTCATCTTACATTTCCTGTAATGTTCTGGTATCACAGGAAGAAGACATGGTGGGGTTGTTTCAAGGTGTTTTTGCACCATTTGGTATGCTATACAGAGTCGAGATTCCTGAGTTTTTCCATTTAAAAAGGAAAAAAAATAGGTTTTTATATAGTCATTATAAAACAGATCTGGCTAAAAGCTTGCAAATCATTACCTCAAAGAGCTCTGGAATGGAGCATCTTTGTTTTGCCAGCTATCTATTTTTCTTTACGTAATCCCAGTGTCAATCCTTCAAGGCAGGCCAAGTCAGAAAACAGATTCCAAACAGACTACTGGAAGTCCTTTTTAGGGGGAGTATAATAAAAGCCTTGAAAGCCTGACAGAGGTTCTCTCTCCCTCCTCTTATACCAAAGAGAGTCAAGGCAGGGCACTCTTGAGTTTCCTTCTCACTCCTTCTTCCCTTCCAGGACTAAACAGGTGTTTAATTGAGAGCTGCTGAATTCCTTCTTCAAGGCCATTTCTGCACTCTATACCCAACCATGATTTTACACAACAAAGGGCAAAATGCCCCAAATGATACACAAACCAATTTTGGATCATCTATTATTTATCTGTATCACTGCCAGCTCTAAATTAACAGTTTGAAAAAAATGTTCCAGTTAATCACCTCACCTTTGATAACTTGATCCGGTTGTGTACACAGAGGTGTGATTGGGTTGGAACAGTCATTGTCATAATCACCTGATGCTCTGAAGTTGTGAATTCCTTTCAAAGTCTAAAAAAGAAAGTGGGGTGGAATAGGCCAGGGGAGTATACTTTAAGTAAATTATCCAGTATGAGCATGGTTTCTATTTTTTCCATTCCTACAAGGAATTTAATTTACCTGGGAATCACAGGCCAATCTGCCCCCCCATAAACTCTACAAAAACATAATTCATTCAAAATGAATAATATATCAGATTATTCAGTATCATTATACAATCAGATTATATACCCAATTATGTTCAATTCAACTCACTAATATTTTTCCTGAGAGCTTATGAACATTCAAACAGCATTCTGCCACATGTGGGTGTGACAAATCAAGATGTAAATTTAAAAAGATATATATAAAACTTTAATGCAATACACTTCATACCCATTTATTCACAGATGACTTAGTAGTTGCAACCCACAGTGCTGGAGGAGGATCAGCCGATCGATCAAGTTCCATCTAAAGGAAAAAATCAAAATTTTAGAATGGAACACTTATCAAGAGCATTTCCTTCAGATATGATGCACAAAAATCCAGAGGAGATTTAGACCTCCTCCTTCTTCGGAAGATAGAGAAGTCTGTGCCTTAGCTTTATGTTCTTTTCACAGGAAGTTCTTCCCCCTTACGTCCCACAGGAAAACAGTGCACTAAAAGGTAAAAATTATTCAAGCTTCTTGGGCATATCCATGTAGACTTCTTGGCAGGAATACGGACATACTCTGTCATTGCCTTATTGGAGGACTTTTCTTCCTAGTCTGAAGCCCACGTATTCCCTGGACCTCTTTCATCCAATTACTGCATGAATCCGTCCTAACTGTTATCTTCCAAGCTCACCCAAATGCTACAAAAAGTGAGCTGTGACCTCTGCACCATGGAAGGTTCTCATCAACTTAGCCAACTATAGAATCTGTGGTAGAGAAACCTGCAATTATCTTTTCCTAACAATTCTACACAAAAGGGGGCAGCTGAATGTTAGGAAAGTTGCAGCCTTGGATTTCATTGGACACTATACAGAAATAGCCATGTTCTGCTCTCTCTGGTGTGAGGAAGAACCAAGGTGCATTATATTAAAAATATGCAAGATCCTGAAGAAGGGACTTATGTGGCAAGTAGGAGAAGTCAACAAATGTCACATAGTTCCAACATCAAAGAGAATTGTCATTTGTCTGTACTGGTGATCCTTTAAAAGCTTTGGGATTTGTTTCATTAAAAGGCCACATATAAGTGAGCACAGTTACAACCCAGATACAACAGTGAGGAGGGTAAAATTATATTATGCAGTTCTCCAACAATCATCAGGACAGCCAAAAGCATGTAAATGAATGAATAGATGGTCAGTTCTCTAAGCTTCAACAAGATTTTTAAAACGTATTACCTTAAGAACCGGTGCCTTTTCTTCACAAATAAGCACACGGATATCAGGATTTCGTAAATCTGTACAATATATCTTTCGATCTCTTCCACCCGAATAAACATGTGTGAAGGCTTCATTGACCTGAAGTGCCCATACTCCTTCATCATGGACTCTGTATGTAGCTATACATCTCTGCTGACCAAGTGACCAGAGTCGGATAGTTCCATCAGAACTGCCAGAAAGACACTGTAACAAAAATGAGAGTTAAAAAATGTTATATTTAGTACCCAATTTTAACCACAAAACCACTGACAAAAACAATCTTTTGATTAACAGAATGCAACACCAGTGCTTGTTGGTATTTCAACTAAACAGTTAAAAGCTACATTTACTGTACCAGTTTAGTCATTCAAATGAAACACATCCATGCTTGACACTTGCCAGTTCTGTTTAGTGGCTCTATAAAAAATACTCACATGCATAGGTGTTAAATGCTAAATTTAATTCAGGATATTCATAGATTAAGATTTAAGATATATGGTATATTGAAATACAATTTTTATTTAAGAAACTGGAGCTATGTTACTGAAGTAGCTCTAATTAGATGGAGAAAATATTACAACATGGCAGATGAAGAGCAGTTGGAAGCATTATATTAAAGCAGTGTTGTCCAAACTTGGCCACTTTAAGATGAGTGGACTTCAACTCCCAGAA